ACAGAAGGATACCCACCCCCCTCCAAGCCACGATATAATCTCAGGTGGGCCTAGATTAGGCGGTCTTGAAAACCAAAGCACCCCCAAACCTCCACCAATCCAAAGCATCCAAACCATCCAAACCATCCAAACCATCCAAATCCTGAGTATTCCCTTGCATTTTTTATCGCCAGTGGAAATATGTATATATATATATACATGTTTGTCCAGGGGACTTCAGCAAATGGAAGTTCCAGGTGCTCCACGGAGATGTTGAAGCGCCACATGCCCTGCCCCTTGTGTCGGGTGGCCTCCACCAGCGTGCTGCGGGGCCAGTCCTGTACCCAGGGCTTCGCGGCTGAAAGCTTGTTGACGCGGGATCCGCTTTTGGAGTCGGTTGCCGCGTTTTTGTTTTGTTTTTTACGTGGTGGCTCCCAGGCATGTTTAGTGGTAGTCTCCATTTAACCACCAAGAGTTAAACTTTTAGCGGGAAATCTGAGGGCAGCCCAGTTGAGGGGACCCTCAAAAAATCATGTTTTTCCCTTTAGCTTCCCTTTAAAGCCAACCCCAAAAAAGGGAAGCCGTTAGAAAAGGTAGGCTAAATGTGGAAGAGTCAAGAATCATGTTTCCTGTGTACCCCGGTTTCGATTGGCCAAGTATGTAACTGCGTCCATCAAAGTGGCAAGGCGTTTTTAGGAGCTTTCAAGATACTCTTCGGGTTGTTTCCTTCAAACCATTTGGAGTTCAGTTTTAGGATGTGCCCCTCCAACAATCATGGAATCATGGAAGCTGACAAGAGGGTGTTGGAAGACTAGTTTCGTTTTGGGCTTCCCCACTGTCTACGTTCATGATTGTCGGAGAGGGGGTTCAACACATCGGTGGGCTTATGGCTTGATCCAGGCTTGAATTTATCGGGACACCCCCTTTTATCTTCCTACTACGACTCATTCCCTACTTGGATGTTCGTCGCCAAGTTAGGAAGTGGTTGGCCACTTGGCTTTTCACCCCCTAACCAGGTTAATCCCACATTTAAGTGGGTTACAATCCAGGAACACCCTTGGGTACTGGTACCTTGCTTTATTTTCAATCTTGGGGGAGTTTTCTTAAACACAAATATTGACGTCGTGTTCTGAAGAGGCTATCCTGTGGCACAATTGGCATGTGAAACAGCTCGGTGCTTTTTTCTCTTTTTTTTAACCAAAATGGGGGACACCTGTTGAACATTGTTTGCAGATCTGTGCGACTTTGCGCAGCCATTCAGGGCAAAATAGAATCCGCTGCTATAGGCCATGTCTGGATGGTAGCGGAGCCCCTGGTGAAGAACAACTCCAGCCGGGCGAACAAGAAGGCCCCGGTGATCTCCTACGGCACGAAGGAGAGGAGGAGGACACCTTGGGGCGAGCCACAAAGAGGCCCAGCTGCTGAGAGGGGCCCGGTGGCAGAGAAGGCGGAGGTGAGACTGGGGGCCAGAGCCAAGAGGAGCTGGCGCTGCTGGAGGTGGTTGGCCGCCCTCGCGGCTTTGGCAGTCTACGTGGTGGACGGTCACCACGTGGTGATTGGGTTGGTCCTAGATGACGGAGATGGAGCAGATCGTGAATGGCCTCAGGCAGGTGCAGCAGCAACTGCAGGTGGTGCAGGCGGAGAACCAGCAGCTGCGGGACCGGATGCAGGCACCTGAGCATGGCCCGACGGGGCACAGGGAGCGCCGGACCCATGGAGGTGATCGCAGCGTTGCAGAAGCTGCGCGTTGGAGAAGATGAGTAGAGGTGGTCGCGGGCTGATCGACCAGAAAGGGCTTGGTAAGCCCCAGATCTTGGGAGAAGACGCGGAGGCGAAGTTCCGGGTCTGGCGGTGAAGCTCGAGCGGGCGTCTTTGGAGGGAAGGCGCGAGAGGTATTGGAATGGGCAGCCGGAAGTGAGATGGCCATCACGGAGACCGAGGTGGACGGTGCATTTGGTTTGGCAGCAGACCTCACAGAGCAATGGGACGAGGTCACGGAATTTGATCACCAGCTCTACACCGTCCTGAGGTCAACGATGGAGGGGGTGGCCTTCGCCATCATCGGGAACGCGCCCATGGGGGCTGGGCTGGAAGCGTGGAGGTTGCTCCACAAGAAGTACGACCCGCAACGGGCGGGCGCAAGCGCATCATGCTTCAAGCATTGACGAGTTTGGAGAGATCCAGCTATGAGACGCTGGGAGCTGCCTTGGAAAGATGGAAGGCCTTGAGGGGCCGCTATAGCAAGAAGAAGGACCAATTCGGGCGCCGCGAGGACTTGCCAGACTTGCTGGCTATGAATGCCTTACAAGAATTGGAGATGTAGATGCACCTTCTGCTGAACTTCTCCAGGTTCAAGAACTTTGAGGAGATGGAAGCAGAGGTGGTGACCTTCATGGAGGCAAAGACCGGGGGAGCAAGATGGCGGTGAGCAGCAACTTCAACAACAACACCAGTGGAGGTGATGCGGTTCCCATGGATGTGGATTCGCTGGTGAAGGCGGTGTCTTGCAACCTTGCGTCCTGGGTGAAGGGCAAGGGCAAGGGTGGCAAAGGAGGAGGTTGAGGGGACGTGTGACAACTGCGGGAAGAAGGGCCACAGGCGGAAAGAAATTGCTGGACGAAACCTACTACCGGAGGTGGAAAAGGTGAAGTCCCCTGGCGCAGGCAAAGGCTCTCCGAAGAAGTTTGAGGGTAGCTGCCACAAATGCGGGAAGCCTGGACACCGGAAGAAAGATTGCTGGGCTGCTGGAGGAGGAGCATCATCCAATGCAAGCCCAAAGACGGACAAGAAGAAGAAGGCTGGGTCGTTTGCGGGAAGGATGAGGGCCCAAGCGGCACCAGCCGGAAGTGGGACATGGTTGAAGTGCAACTTCGATACTGGCGCTTCGATCACGGCCGTGCCCAAGAAATATCACGAGAACCCGCAGGAGAAGTCCAACTCATTCAAGACGGCGAGCGGGGAGTTGATCCGGAACTACGGGCCGGTCGGAGTGGTTGGCTATGACGTTGGTGGTGTGAAAAGGACGGCAATGCCACGGACGTGCGCAAGGTGTTGGTGAGCGCGGGCAAGTTGCACGCCAAGGGGCACTGCGCATGGAAGTTCAAGGGTGGCGGCATGATTACCAGCGAGGGCTGACCGGCTCTATATGTGGCACCGGCTGTATAGTGGCACCGGCTGTATGGCACAGGCTGTATACTGGCACCGGCTCTGTATCAGTTGTCGATGGCCACTGGCCAAGTTCTTCACAAGACACTTCAAGGGATCATCATGACACTTCAGGCTCTTTACGATATATGGGTCCTTGCCATTGCCAGGATCTGTTCGGGCAACGTTTCGTGTGATTTGTTTTTGACAAAGGGGGGGTATATTGGTACAGGGTTCCATATATCAAGGTCCTGAGGGCCAATCCCGCAACGGTTGCACACGCAACCTTTCACACATTTTGTTTCGACGGGAATGTCGCATTCCTTTTTTTTCGAGCGGAGGTCGAATAGAGCAGCAAAAAGTCAAAGGGGTTATCATTGCTGGTGCGTTGGGATCCCCATGTTCCAATTAAAAAAGGGGTGTGTTTGTTTGAAAGGCTCCCCCGTTTGGGGTTCCAATTGGACCTGCCTTCAAACGCTATGTTTTCTACACCCAGAAACTCTCAAAAGTCCGATGCACCCTGCTCAGTTTCTCCATTGCGCAAAATCGGTCGATTTGATGTCGTTCGGCACGCCATCCTGCGCAGCGCCCGCCCGGCTCGACTCATGGAGAAGGCGTGTTGGATTGCTGAGCAACTGCACCGAAGCTGCGTTTGCCCTGATGAGGGAACCCGTGTGTCTAGGACTGGCGCTATCTCTCCTGGCACTTCGTTGAAAAGCCTTGAGACACGCAAAGCCTTTCAATGGGCCAGACAAGTGACAGCTTCAAGGTACTTTACAGCGCTCGCTGTAAAAAAGGCCATCAAGTTGCTCCTCACAAAGTATGAAATCCAAATACCACGGATACCAGGACAAACTACCCAGCAGTGGATCGAAACGCAGGCCCCAGTCATATTGCACCTTTGCAAACGGAGCCGGAAGAACGTCGCCTCAAGCCTGCGGAACGTGCAGTTCGGCATGGATATGGCCGACACACAGCCGATGGAGGCAGCTAGTAACTAAAAAACATGGTTTGTGTTTTGTGGCTTAACATGACCCGCGCATGATTCCGCCAGGATGCCGACCTCAACATCGCACTTGAGAAGCCCGATCCGGAACTTATCACCGCAACGTGGCCAGCAGCCGAGGCTTCGAAAGGGTTGTAAGACACGCAATTTCCTACACGGCTAAGGCGTGCCATCTTTCACGGCGTCTGTCAATATTTTGTTGAACCAACAGCTGTGTAGAGACAATGACCGTTTGGGAAAACCCACAATAGGTTGCCATATCTCCTCCTTTTCAGATAGTTGTGTCAACTCTTTTCATCGGTGTGGTCCCCTTTTCTTAAATGTTGCCTTACATCAGGCGCTGCTGGAGAAAGGGGCCCCATACAGGTTTCAACGGATAGCAAAATCTTTCCTCGGATATTTAACGATGGGACCAGCGCTAGGAAACATGTGTTAAACACATGATTGAAACACCCCCAAGGATTGCCAAGACGCGTTGCCCGCCCCAGCACCCTCGCCAGCAACACAAGTCCTCGCGGTCATCGCATGGAGCCTGGCAGGTTGCAGCTTGCGTTTTCTACCCGGTTCAAGCTTTGATTCTGGGGGGCGTCCGAAACCAAGGGGGAAGATCAATTGGCCATTGGGTGCCACACCGAGGCAAGGCAAGTGTAAGACAACTTATACGGGCTTGCCTTACCACGCTACATCGCGACAGGACTCAGAGAAATCTGTGAAGAATGTGCCCCCTGTGCCGCTCTTCAAGGACATCTTTCAGGGTACTAGCGCAAAAAGAATTTGCATCGTGTATCTTGTAAGTTTGTTGCAGGCAAAAGCAAGCGCATCAAGCCCTTGGAACACACAGATCTTATAGGGAACGTGCTACTGCCCTCAGGACTGCCCCACTCTTAAGCGTGGAGCCACCCTTCGCCACAGCCCGAGCTTCGAGAAGGAGCTTGAGTTGGTCATGTTGGAGACTGAGAAGGACTGGCGCTACTTGCGGTGCGATATGGAGAAGAAGCACCCGACGAAGATTATGATGGTGAGGTACAACAGTGCTGGCACGTGGTTCCACACACCTGGCAAAGGGTGGGCTCTCTATGAGCCCGACCACCCTGAACTGCCAAGGCTGCACGCGGAGCTGAAGGCGCAGGAGGACAAGGATGGTGAGGAGGCTCCGAACCTTGCCAGCGCGCAGCGCCAGCTTGCAGAGCAGCAAGACGTGAGCTTGCCGGAGACACAGGTTGATGAGGAGGACCTTGCTGGCGGGGCCGAGGAGTGCGGCGATGAGGAGCTGAACGAGACACAGCTGCCGGAGGACGAGGAGTGCGGCGATGCGAAGCTGAACGAGACACCGCTGCCGGAGCACGAGGAGCGCGGCGACGAGGAGCTGAACGAGACACAGCCGGAGCACGAGGAGCGTGGCGATGATGAGGAGCTGAACGAGACACAGCTGCTGGAGCACGAGGGCCGCAGCAATGAAGAGCTGCCCGAACACAAACAGCTTGAGAACGCTGCAACGGTGGATGAGGCCTACAAGATGACTCAGGAGCTGAGCTGGCGGGAGGCCACTCAGGACATGGAGCAGTGGCAGCAGCCGCCAGCGGCGGAGAACGCTGGCTACTTCGAGGAGGAGTGGCCGGCAGCGGACAACGTTGACTATGCCGCAAGGGAGTGGCCAGCAGCGGAGAACGTCGGCTACTCGAAGTGTGTGGCGGCGGAGAACATTGACTATGTGGCGAAGCAGTGGCCGGCGACAGAGAACGTCGGCTGCTTGGAGTGGCCAGCGGCGGAGAACTTTTACTATTCGGCGAATCAGTGGCCAGCGGAGAACGTTGACTACTTGGCGGAGTACGTTGACTCTTCGCAGGAGCTCGAGTGGGCAGCAGCGGGGAACGTTGCCTACGAGTGGCCGGCAGCGGGCAACGTTGTGGCGAAGGAGTGGCAGGCAGAGGACGCCGTTGGCTACTTGGAGGAGCTGCCAGCAGCGGACAACGTTGGCTACTTGGAGGAGCCAGCAGCGGACAACGCTTGCTACTTGGAGGAGGAGCTGCCAGCAGCGGACAACGCTTGCTACTGGGAGGAGGAGCTGCCAGCAGCGGACAACGCTTGCTACTTGGAGGAGGAGCTGCCAGCAGCGGACAACGCTTGCTACTTGGAGGAGGAGCTGCCAGCAGCGGACAACGCTTGCTACTTAGAGGAGGAGCTGCCAGCAGCGGACAACGCTTGGTACTTGGAGGAGGAGCTGCCAGCAGCGGACAACGCTTGCTACTTGGAGGAGGAGCTGCCAGCAGCGGACAACGCTTGCTACTTGGAGGAGGAGCCAGCCGCGAAGAAGGTCTGCATCTCGGAGGACGCGCAGAAATGGCAGGAAACCTTCAAGCAGGAGGAGAACACGGAGGGCGCGGGACGCTGGTGGGCGGCAGACAACGAACAGACGCGGTCATGGCTAGAGGACAAGCGGCGCCAGGGCGAGTGGCCGGGCGGGGAGGGTGGAGATGAGGCGCCTGACGCGCGCGACGCTGTTATGAAGGAGCGGGGCTTGGACTTGGAGTGGCCATGGTATGGGCCAAGGGAGGACTGGCCAGAGCAGCTCAACGAGGAAGGCTTAGAGGTCGAGGCAGCCTTTGAGAGTTTGGGGTGGCGGGCTGGTTTTGGAGGTTCCCTAAACTTTGCCCCTTGCTTTGGGAACTTGCGTTTGCCCCCCCCCCAACCTTGCTTTGGTGATTTCGGTTGGGTGCCCTAAACTAAGGTTTTTGGCCCCCCCAAACCTTGCTTTGAGTGCCCAAAAACTGGGGTTTGGCAGCTCCAAACCTTGCTTTAGGCGCCCAAAACTGGGGTTTTGGCCCCCCAAACCTTGCCTTGGGCGGTTTGTAGTCTCCAACGTTATCGCCCGTGGTTTCAACAAAAGGATTGATCTTAGGGGTTGTGCGGGAAGTATGGTCGCAGGACCCGAAGTTGCAAAACAGCAACACGCCGAAAGACAATGCCAATCACGAGTCTTGACTGCAATCGCCTGGCATATTTTCTTTTCGGAAACAACCGCGGCAAATATGTTACAAAACATTGCTGCCTAGGATGGCCCTCGCAAAGCGATCAAGATGAGGCCGTATGAGATTCTGAGTGCTTTGGATAAAGGAGCGCTCTCGGCGCCTACACCAACAAGGCCCGCGACACGCTTTTGCAAAACTAGTTTGGCTCTTGGACCATTGTTGCCTCTTACCAGGCAGCTTGCTGGCGCAGCCGGACAAGCAAATGCTATGAAGGACTGCTGAGAGGGGAATCGAGTTGTGTTGTTTGGGAATTGCAACCAGATTGAAGGAGACCAAGAAGTCCGATAAAACCCGGAGTTCGCAGCAACCGGCGCCGTCATCTGCAAGTCTGTTTTCATCAGTCTGAGTGTCAAGAGTGCCAGCTCCCAGCACCTAAGGAAAGTTTCAATTTGGAGAGTGCCGGATCCAAGTTTGCAAATATTCCTGATCGTGCACTTGAGGCTGCCTTGAAAGGGCCTCACAGAGCCATCAACCCTCATTCCCAGCGTTTGCTGACGGCCAGCAAACGCGAGGCTCACTTGGACAAGGGCCCTGCGGACAAGGGCCCTGCTAAGCCCAAGGCAAAAGCAAAAGGAAAGGCAGCGGCCAAACAATCGGCTAAGGGCAAAGCAAAGGCTGCTCCTAAGCCAAAGGCGGCGCCCAAGGAAAAGGTGAGCAAACCCAAGCCCCCAATGACAGAATACGCAAGGGCAAAGCTTACGTTCTTTGAAGAGCAACTCGAACAAACAACGCGGGTCAGTCATTGTGTGTTTCAACAACTCAACCCTGAATGATTTGTGCTTGCCCAGGCACTTGATGGACAAGGATTGGCTTACAAAGAAGGAGAAGGAAGAGAGGCAATTAGAAACGCAAGTTTTCTTGATTCCTTCGCAACGACCCTTTCCCCTCGATCCGTCCTTGCCTTCAGGTGGATGACTTCGGATGCTCGGACGCAGTTCCTGTCCACGATGTCGGTTGCCGAGCAAAAGCGCCGGCGCTACATTTAGGAATTTTGTTAGACCACTGCCAACAGCTGCAGTGTTGTGGGGAGCGTGTCTTCGCAAATCAAACTTTGGGGTGGGAAAAAGTGACTTGCCATGAACATTGAGGTGACACCATGGCATTTTCTTTGAAAAGAGCTGAAATTGACACACGCTGAAGTCTAGGCTCACAGAGGGGATCAAGGCTCTGGTGCGTTCAAGCCATGCGGTACAGCCAGCTTGCCATTCTGTTGACTGCAATGCTCAAGAGCCCGAAACCTAAGGTTGTTTGCCATGACACGCGTACTCCGAACAATGTGTCGTTGTTGCAAAGACTTGTTGTAGGCATGGGAGAAGTGGACCCGGACAATGCCCTACAGTTTGTGGAGTTCTTTGCAGGCAAGTGCGTTGTCCCTTCCCCTTTGCATCTCATCAACACCGACCAGGCTGTCACATGCTACACAGCGCCGCCCAGATCTACAACCTGAATTCCCGAGCAGTGGACGTGCTTGGCATGAAAGTGCAAACCTTTTTCCCCTGACAACTGAGCCCCTTCAGAAAGAAAGTTTCTGAGGTAGCGTTTAGCCGGAAATACGATGTGCTGGAAAACTTCGGGTTTATCCTATGCATCAACTTGGCAACTTGGCGGTCTTTGCAGAAAAAGGTTCAACCGCCAGCTTTCGACCCACATTTGAACTCATTTTTTTTGATTGAGAACCCTGGTCAGATACGTCACATGGTGCGTGGGTCAACGGCATGGTTCGGATTGCCATGCTCAACATTTGTATTCATGCAACTTGGTGGCATGTTGTTTTCCCCTGAAGGGAGGGAATCGTAATGTTGGGGAGTGATGAAGAACACAAGCACGCGTGTCCGAGCCAAATAAGGTCACGAGGATCCACGAAAAGGAGCTGGCTGAGGCCACAGGGATGCCGATCAAGCCCTTCCGTTGCCAAGGGCAACAAGATTGCCCGTCGAGTTTGTTATCTGTGCCTTCCTCAGATCTTAAAACTGTTACGCGAAGAAACTACCCACAGAATCCCGTCTTTTTGTCGGTTGACATGCTTTGCCAAGGATCGAATACTGTGCAAAGAAGGAGGTGCATTGGGTGGTGGAACAGCCCATGTCAAGCCTAGCTTTCCGCTACAAACCTCTGCGAGTGTCCTGGCTACAAGGTGTGATGTTTGCAGCTGACCCCAATTGTTGGCTTTCAAAAGCATGCCGTGCTAGAAGCTGGTGCGGAAGTACGGCGCCGTCTTTGTGCCCGTGGCGCTGGGGGCGTACCACGCGCTCACGCTGAAACCTGCCCCCCCGGCAAACTTGAGCGCGCTTTTTTCCAATTGGCCCCTGCAAGCCATTGTAATCCATCTCCGTTTCACTGACAGCTCGCGAAGCGATAAGGTTTGGCTAGTCGGAACTGCGCCCTGGTTGAAGTCGATGGCTGCTTGGGCATCCCCGGAGAGAAGGCGCGAATCGGCAACGCTAGCCAGCCAAACACGGCTGTTGCGACCTTTCGTGGAACTTCAAATCGGCGCAGTTTCCTCGCAAATGGCTCGCGTCGCACCAAGCGTGTAGCCTTCTCTGTGATTCGCTCCTTGCAGGAGACAGCTGGCCCGCATCCGCGCGTTTATGAAGATCGAGACCTGTAGGCGATACGTGAACAAGGCCGGCGCGAAGCGATGCGACTCTTGTCAGCAAAGTATCGGTGTGTCATGTTGCAGGATTGCCTTGATTCAATTCCAGACAGCGGCCGCGCTTGTGCAATCTAAGTGTGGAGGGAAAGACCTTTCATCAACCCAGCAGTATCCTGCACTGATGGGCATCACAGCTGCTTGTCTGATCTTGCAACGTGTGTTCTTTGCTTGCAAGTCAACTCTGGGCCCACCCATGGAGGTAGAGGTTCTTCGCATTGTTTTTCGTGACATGACATCAGGTCTGTAAATAAAAATCCGGACAGCCCTGCCCCACCTCACCCTCTCCTAGCCCTGTCCTGAGGCCGCGCGATTGATGGCGAACCACCTGACGGGTCAGCCGAACGAATCGGTGGTGCGCGACGGCGGCTTGGCTTTTGAAGACGATGGGGAGGACAGCAGTGACAGCGGGCTGGAAAGCCTAATTTGAAGGGGGCCGTAATTCAAGTGGCTGCAGAACGGCCTTAATTCCAATTTGGGGATCGGATTTGGGCCCATGCTTAGTTTCACACGCGCAGGCCCGAGCGATGAAAAGCACTTTGAACAATACGATTGCGTGGAGCAAGGGGTTGCAAGCTTGACTGGGACACATTGATCCAGAAAAGGGTCGTGACATAGAACGCAGGCTGCCTTTTTTTCAAAAGGGGAAACAGATCCAGGTTTCCCTTGATGCAGCTTCCCCCAACTCTTTGATTCAATTTGCAATGATTCTGAAGGGGTCGACAAGTAGTTGCGCAAGGTCGACCCTCTTCAACTTAAGGTTCGCCAGTTCCTGTCATCCCTTGGTGAGAAATACACTCAACGACTTCCAAGTAGGTTCAATTGTGCGAAAACGTGTCAAAACCAAGAACGTTCCAAGCGGGGTCAAGCGTGCCAAAGTGTTAATTTCAAATCGCGCCACCGGCCCTCAAAACATGTTCTGGTTGAACGAAACGCTCAACAACTTGCAAGGATACGAGTTTGAAAGAACGTGTCCAAACGTGCCAAAACGTGCCGCCAAGCCTCAAAACGTGCCCCAGTTGAACAAAACACTCAATGATGTCAAAGATTGCGAGTTTGAAACGAAGCTTTCCAAAACGTGCCAAAACGTGTCAAAACGTGCCACCGACCCTATAGACCCCCTAAAAACGTGCCAAAACGTGCCGCCCCCCCCCACAAGATTCCAGTGTTCACCGTGGCAATTTCAGCTGTGCGACCCCGGGTTTCAAAGCCTTGAGAGCCAATGTCGGGCGAGCTTGACGGGAAGGGCGTGCAGAAGGGTGCCACGGAGAAGGGCAAGAAAGGCATGCTGACGGGCGCGAAGGGCGGTGAGAAGGGCAAGAAGGGCTCCGAGAAGGGCGAAGAGAAAGGCGTGCTGGGCGTGCCCGTGGGTGATGCGAAGGGCGACAAGGGCAAGAAGGGCTTCGAGAAGGGCGCACAGGCCGTGGTTGTTGTGGAGGACAGCAAGGGCGGCGGGAAGGGCAAGAAGGGCTTTGAGAAGGGGAAGGCCGCGGACGTGGTCATGGATGATGCGAAGGGCGGCGAGAAGGGCAAGAAGGGCTTCGGGAAGGGTGGTGAGAAGGGCGTGGTTGCGAAGGGCGGCGAGAAGGGCAAGAAGGGCTTCGAGAAGGGTGCGCTGGACGCGGTCATGAACGATGCGAAGGGCGATGAGAAGGGCAAGAAGGGCTTCGAGAAGGGTGCGCTGGACGCGGTCATGAACGATGCGAAGGGCGATGAGAAGGGCAAGAAGGGCTTCGAGAAGGGTGCGCTGGACGCGGTCATGAACGATGCGAAGGGCGATGAGAAGGGCAAGAAGGGCTTCGAGAAGGGTGTTCTTGTGAAGGCTATGCCTCTCAGGCCGAAGGGTGCGGAGAAGGGCGCGCCGAAGGGCAAGATCGAGAAGAAGGCCATGCCGTTGGGCGCAAGTCCGATGCTTGCGGAGAAGGGCGCGAGCAAGGGCTTCGACGCGGCCAAGGGTGCGCAGAAGGGCGCGGAGCAGGACAGCACGAAGAGGGGCGTGAAGAAGGAGATGCTTGAGCGCGACAGCGCGAAGGGCGTGCAGAAGGGCGTCGAGACGGGCATGAAGGGTGCGCAGGGCAGCGCGCCGAAGTTCGCTGAGACCACACACGCGCCGAAGGGCGGCAAGGACGATGTGAAGATCGCAGTGTCTCGAGGCAAGGGCTACGCGCATGCGGTGGCCATGGACGACAGCGACACGAAGGAGGTCACGCAGTGGTGGACGCCAGGCGAGAAGCAGCAGGAGGCGGAGAGCGGGTGGTGGAACAGTGGCTGGTCCTCGTCAGAAACGCCGTGGAGCACTCGTGAGTGGCAACAGCCGGATGAGGGCGGCCGCGCCATCAAGATTGGCAAGGGCAAGCCTACGAAGCGCAAGTTGGACTTTGACCCCGACGAGGACACGCAAACATCGGCTCCCTCGCAAAGATCTTAGTTCGACCGATTGGCACCGTTGTTTTGGAAAAGGGCCTCCGATGCATTTCCTGAAAACACAACTGCTTTAATTCCCGCAGCTGGCCTAGGCATTTGCTGCGGCGCTCCACCAGCATCATGTCTGACGGCGCCGGTTGCCCCCCGATCGGGAAGCTGGGCGAGGACAACGGCAGTGGCCGCGTGAAGCGGGACACTTGGCCAACTCTATGCAACATGCTATCAAACTCCGTTTGGTTGAGCCCCACGCGAAACAAAAGCTTGTTGGGTCTGAGGGCCAAACAGGATTTTGCAAGATTAGTCAGTGTAGCCGTTGCTGTTTTTCTTAAAACAGGCAAACCCTTCAAACCCAATCTGAGGTGAAGCTCTTGGGCGAGGAGGATGTGAAGAGAATCCAGGACTGCTTGGTTGGGATGACAAAAGAGAATGCGAACAAACAGCAGCCAACTGAACCCCTAGCTACTCTCGCGTTTGTGCAGGAGATGACCCATCCCTCTGAAATGGAACCCGCAGAGAAAAAAAGGCAACGGGAAGCCTTAAGGAGAAGAATGAGCCAAGGAGGCAGGGCGACCCTTCCAGCTGAACACAAGCTACTGGTTCCTTGTTGTCAAGGCCTTCCCCCGGGAGTTTTGGAGAAGTACCAGGGCGCCAAGACAGAGGTGCAGAAGTGCGGTTCCTAATCCAATGAGACACTGCTCAATGAACACCCAGTTGTGTAAACAAGGTTCGAGCTGCTGAAGGCTTTCATTCTGGACCCCAATGGCCTGTCATCCCTGACGGTGGAAAGTGAGTTCATCGAGATGTCCAAGAACAGCAAGGCTGACACATACATAGAGCTTCCACTGTATGTGCTGAAGGAACAGTATGGATATGAGAAGAGTGGAGCCGGCCGCGAGTTTGTTGACCGCATTCTTGCGCAACAAGCAGGAATCCCACACCCTCAGGACATGCCAAGTGTTACGTCCAAAACCACGAGTCACGGGTAAGCCCATCATGTTTTTGTTAGGACAAGGACAACGCTGAGATGCGGATCTACAAAGTGTGGAACTGCGCAAAGACCAAGAGCACCTTACCTACTTTGTGGTTTGCCCCTTTGCTCTTTGCCTCCTTTGGCTTTTGGCCCAGGAGTGGAGGAGAGCTCGGTGGCGTCCAAGTTGAAAGCAAAGGGGGATGTGGGGGAGAACCCTGCAGCCCGAAAATCTATGGCAGAGCACGTCACCAACGCGGCGGCGGGCTTTGGCGCTCAACCCATGCTCAACCAGGGGGTCAAAGCCAATAAGAAGACAGTGAAAGACAAAAAGGAGGCCGCAAAATTGGAGGTTTCCCATTGCTGTTAGGTGGTTTCTTGTCCTCATAAACCTTGGGCCTGCAGGTGTCTGAAGCAGACTTGCAAAAGAAGGAGTTCCAAAAGAGCTTGACAGAGAGTCCTGGCTTTGAAGACTTTGTTGTTTAAAACACATTGGTGAGTTGGTTGCGCAACTTAGGATTACCAAGCTAGCTGGGAAGGCCCGAATGGCAGCCAACAATCTCCAGAGCAGCGGCATCCAGCACCAAGATGCAGTCATTGCCAACTTAGGGACAGTTTACAAGGAGTTGACCAAGCTTGCCAGCAGGCCGGAAAACCCTTCAACATCCACTTAACTGTCAAGCTTCTTTAGGAACCTGAAATCAAGCGGAACTCCAGGATTGATGAGATGGTCTTCCAGTGCTACAATTTCAAAGCCTGCATGTGTGAGCTGGAGCGTAACAGCCCGCTCATTCAAGCGGCTCGGCAAACAGCTTTCCCTGAGGGTCCCCCGCCATCTCAGTGTAGCTCCCGTCCAGCTCAGGATGCTGCGCGGCAAGTCACGGAGGCAGAGTCGATACGAATGAGTCACGAGAGAAGTTCTGGCCTCAATTGAGCTGGTTGGTGCGAACAGTTGTGATTCGAGCCCTATTGCAAACACAGAAAATGCCAAGCGGGGAACCTTCAAAAGCATAGATTGTTTTCGGGAAGTCTCCAAACACCTATATCAAGGGGCTGTGCAGTGTTAAACTGTTTAGAGGCTAGGGGCCCTCGCCGCACAAGTTCATCAAAACCACAGAGTGTTGAGAGGGGAACCTACAATAAACACACACACACACGCAGCTTTCGACAAATCTTGAAACACAAAGTGTTCAACTTCAACTGGGCGGGTAATCTCCAAACACACCGAGTGTTTATATGGTGACATCTTCAGGCACATCAAACGTGCAAAGTCCCTACAGGGAAAGTTGAAAACAACATTTAGAAGAACACTTTCGTAGCCGTTGGTTGTAAGGTGAAAAGGCTGCTCAGCGAAAGAAGGAGAAGGAGGCAAAAAAAGCGGCGAAGAAAACATCATCGCTGTCTGAGACCTCGCCTGAAACCTGGAAGGGCAGTGACTGGGGCAGTAGCACCTGGGAATAGTCTGGGATGTAGACACGTTTCATGGCTGGATGTATGGGTGTTGCGAGCGGCAAGGGATTCCTGGGGGAGCATATGGCGGGTTGCAGTTGGATTCCCCGTTGTGACCATGTGTTGAAAGCATCTTATAAAGAAACCATACGAGTTTTCAGTACGCTGTCGTGCATTCAACTGGCTCCCAACCTGTGCACGGGGTGAACCTTGAATTGTCCGGCTACTGGGCCTCGATCCATTTTAAAGGAATGGACGCTGGCCCGCCCTTGGCATGTTGCACGCTGCTCTTAGACCACCCACACATGGCATGGAAAACGCTGCCCTATCCTCAACCATGACTACACTAATGCTGCACGAAGCGTATTGCAGCATTTTGCCTATGGCAACAACCGGCTATTCGGGTTCGAGGCTCCAGCAAAGATGGCTGGAGCTGCCAGCGTGAGCCAGTCTGACCTAGGGCAATCAATCGAGGATGTAGTAGCAAGTACAGTTGAGGAACTATTTGACATGCTTGGTGAAGGGGAGGCAGGATTTTTTTTTATGAGTGGTGCGGCAGCAAGCAAAACGAACTTGACAGGTGCCCATGCAACGAGTGCAGTCCCTGGTAGGCTGAACTGGTCCACACTACTGGCTCTTTTGAGTTTCTTGTCTTGCAGGAAAGCTATCGGGATTGCCGCACGCGCGTGTCCCGCCACATGGCTGATCACGAATTAATTGACCCAGCTGCACTTGCACATCCAAATCTGAGGAAGTCTATCCTCCAATTGGCAGAGGTTTTGAAAGGCAGACAGGCAAGCTGGGGCTCCGGGCCTGGCTTCCAGCGCTGGGTTGAGGCGCAACCGTGGAGCTGCTTGGCAATCTACTTTGGTCTGTGTGTTTTTGGGCCCCTTGTAAAGTGACGGCTTGCTGATGCACAACAGATCAGGAAAAATCCTCCCGCTGCCCTTTGAGAACCGCGGTTGCAAAATATTTCTTTGACCCTTGTTGCACTTTGATTCCAACCTGAATTTGTGGATCAGGTTTGAAGTTGCTGTGGACTATGTGGATGCCCACGGAACAATGCATACTTCTGCCCCACATCACTGCATGAAGTAGTTGGAAACTTCTGGGACTTCAAGGGCCGCCAAGATGTTAAGAACGCGTTGAAGAAGAGGCTACAGGGGCCCCCTGGCGTTACTTGGCTGAATGTTGCTGGTTTGCTGGCTAGTGCTTCAAGCTCCGGCCGGAGTTTAGGCGCTCGACGCATTCTGGCGCAATGAGCGGCACACCGAGTGGTTCCAGAGCCACCCCATCTTTCAAGCGGCTTGACAAGCTTCGAAAACCTAAGAGTGTCTCTTCGCAAGCTTTAGAAACAAAAGAGCTGCTCTTTCACAAACTTGGACAACGTAAAAGCTTCTTTTGATAGACTTGGAAACCAAGCGGCCTTCTTTTCACAAACTGGAAAAACCTAAGGTCAAGCCTGAGATGTTCTTTTCAGATATGTGGAAACCAGCTTCTTTTCCCAAACTCGCAAAACCAACGGGTCAAGCTGTTTCTCTTGTTAATAGGGAAGCAGAATGTGTAGCCCCGGTTTCCGAGGAAAGCTTGCCGGAGGATGTGCTGCCACTTCGGTTGTACGGCGATGGCGCGGAGGCGCACAGAGCCTTGCCCAACATATTGGGGGGGGCTCTGTGTGTGTGTGTGTTTGTGAATTTGCTTTCCGGATTTTTCATAGCTGACCACACTAAGAAAAGCAGAAGTTCGAGATGATCACACTGATCCTACCCATGGCATCATCAGCAACGTGGGACAGCCGCATCCTGTGAGCCCGATAGCACCCCAACCCGCTAGCCCTATAATCCTTTTTACCGCTTTATCAGGCTTTCCTGCATGAACGTGGCCTACTGCAACGGGTCAGCCCGGACAACATTGCTGGAAGCATTGGCTTGGAGCTTTGAAAGCTTGAGAGTCTCGGCTTGCAAAATCACTCCCCTATACCTTTCGCGTTGCGTGAAACGCAAGGACTTGGAATTTATCCTGCTGAAGACCCTTGGGGCAAACCTTTCAACGAGAAGTACAACCCCGCTCGATGGAAAGTTGCAGGAAAGAATATTGCTGGCACGTACAAGGCAGTGCTGGAAGGGATACAGGGCGATCAAGATTATATTCGGGTGTTGCTGCAGCCAGCCAGTCCCTTGTCAACATGCGGTGACACACATGGCCTGCTTCTGCAGGGCGGGCTCAATTCTGTTTTCTGATTTCTCGACTAAGGGTTCTACACCAAACAGTTCTGCTGCTACTACTGCGGCGCACTTCAATGGGTGTATGAGCACCAAAAAGCTGACGAGTTGGAGATGCTTTACACCAATTTTGGCCCAGATGCTGGGCACAGGAAAACGCCCCTTGTTGAACATTGTGTTTTTCTTTGTCCAGCCACGTAACCGCGTTTGTCGTTCCATTTGGAGAGTTTGGCCTGGAGTTGCAAAGCTCTACAAACTCCTCAAAACGAGAGCCGGTTTCCATTTCCTAAAAGGGGCAGCCAAACACTCCCGCGTCGTTCCCCTGAGCTGAGGCTTGTGACTGTGGACGAGTGGCACGCGATCAACCCCCCCACCCCCCTGGCCAGAACTGTTGGGTTCAGCCCTTGGAGAATCTTGGCGCAACTTCCTCTGTTTTGAGGGGGGAACCTTGTTTTTTTGGGAGGGGCCCCTAATTGACCTGGTTCTTGTTATAAATCTGCACCCTTCAAACCGCCAACTCTGCAAACTTAACGGTTTATCAACCACGCAAGGAGTACTGCCGGATTTGATGCATGTGGCGCATTTGGCTTTGTTTCCTGATATCTTGATATCGGTTATCCTGAACGTTACTGATACCGATCGGCTGGTCCAGGGGAACTCCAGGGATGCCAGACTGCAGCGCTTGTGGCAATCTTACCGCGACTTCTGCGAAAACACAAAGGTCACTGATCGGGCAACCCGAAAATTTTTCTTGTCTACAACACTTCGAGGGACTGGCGACAAGTACATGGAGGTGTCCCAGAAAGTTCTATCTGCCACAGCAGCCCGCTACATGCTGTTTTGGCTGTCAAGCCTGGCCAACCAGTTTGCGACCAAAGCCGACGCAAGCGAAACCGACCTGCTCCTGTGACAAAACAGCGTGCTGCACTTTCTTTGCTGGAGGGGGGGTTTAGCGCACGTGTAAGGTTGCACGCTGGAGCCCTGGGCGGCCTCGCGGGGGTGGAAGAAGTATGCCTTCTGGGAAGCCGCTTTCTGAACGAGCAAGAGTGCCAAACAATCAGGGACAACTACTTGCTGTGCAGGTCGGCTTACAACAAGCTGGCAGAAAAAGCCCTCTCAGAAGGCGAGGCAAGGTTTCACACACGTCCCAAGCAGCATATGTATGAACACTTGTGCTTAGATTTCACCCCTCGCAATTTTCGTTATTTGGCATGCTATGTCGACGAAGACGCAATTCGGCGTGTGAAGTTCGCCGCTGTAGCTTGTCACCCAAAGTTCATGAGCAAGCAAGTTTTGTTTCGCTATGCCTTGAAAGAGTGTTTGAAAATGAATGGCGGCATGTAGATAACAATCTGCATATACAAGTTGGCGACCAGGGAAACATATTGCAGGCTCTGCGGCTGCGTGTCGACTCGTTTGCTTCCGCGGGGTCTCTTTGTGAAATCGTGTTTCAACAGGGCGCCAATCTTAAAAGAAACACCGCTATTGCGGTCGTTTTGCGGGAAACTGTGCGCAGTTGGGTGTTGTCCATACTGGCCCCTTCATGTTTGAGCCAAACATCTTGACGTGGGTTGCTTTCTACATAGATTTCTTCATTTCCACAGACTCAATCCTCGTGAATGTTTGTGCCCATCGTCTGGGCCTCTTGTCTGCTATTTCCAGCACCCCAAACCCATTTTCTGCTTGGAGGTGTGCCCAACCTTTCTTTGTGGCACCGGCCTTATACACGGCACCGGCTGTATAATTGGAACCGGCCTCTCTATGAGGCTGGTCAGCCCTTGCTGGTATGCCCTTGGACCACCCGGTGCGCAAGGAGCTACGAGAGGGCGATGAGCCGGCACGATGATCCGGAGACGGACGATGGCGCAGCCAGCTGGGAGACCGGAGGAGAAGGATCTGGTTTGGGTGCAACGCCCAAATCACGTGCTGGGGCGGCCAGGAGTGCGGCGAAGGCACCATGGAGGGAGCCGCCTTGGAGGCAAGAGGAAGGCACTGTGTGGGCGCTGGAGGAGGAACAACCTGGTAAGCCCGCCGCTCCCGAGGAATCGAAGCCCCGCCGATGCCAACGGCGAGGGAGAAGAGAGAATATGAGGCCAGCGGACATGCAGTCTATAGGAGCTGGTGTGAGGAGTGTGTAAACGCCACGGGCATGGTGCAGCAGCATCGGAGGAAGGTTCGCCAGGCGGACGGAGGACATGGCAAGGCACGGACAGTGCGGAAGGCCATGGTGGAGAAGTATGGCAAGACCCCGGGGTGTGAAGGATGCATCTCATTGGTGCGGGGCAAGCCATTTCAGCAGGTGAAGCACAACGAGGAGCGCCGGTCGCGGATCTTCAAGAAGCAGGCAGACGAGGAAGAGAAAGAGGAGCAGGTGAGGAAGAAGGCCCGAAAAGATGACTTTCGAGAGGATCGGCAGAGGGCTGTGAATCAAGCTGCCGAGGTGGAGATTGATGAGAGCCGAGGAGATGCCGCAGCAGGAGCAGCAGCAGAGGAGCCATCGAGCTCGAGCAAAGGCCCCGATGAAGGTGAGTCTCCCAAGAAAAAAAGGGAGGTGAAGGCGGAGCAAGGGACATTGAGGATCTCTTGCGAGGAAGCTGGCCCGGCGGGGCCTTGATTGATGGAGGCGGAGAAGGAGCTGGGGCAGCAGATGAGGAGCGAGGAGGCAGCGAGCATAGTCAAGGAGCTGGGGGCGCTTGACCTCATCGAGGTGTTCAGCCCCAAAAGGCTGACGAAGGAGTTGGCCAGGTTCGGCTTCCGGGACGGAGCTGCGGTGGACCTGGACGAGATGAAACCAGGAGGCGGTGAAAGGTGGGACCTGGACCGGGAGGAAGACTATGGGCTCTTGCGCAAGATGATTCGGCGTGAGGAGCCTTGGCTGGTTACGAGCTCCCCACCGTGCACAACGCTCAGCCCGCTGAGGAACATCAGCAATCCGAAGCGGGATCCAGAAGTGGTGCGAAAAAAGGAGAGAAGCTCGGAAAGGATCGTGTGAGAAAAGCAATGAGCTGTTGCAAGCAGCAGGCAGACCAAGGTGGGGTGTACTTGCATGAGCACCCAAAGAGGTCAACGAGCTGGGACATGCCAGAGGTCCAGGAGATGCTGAAGAGGCCAGACACCGGACGGTGAGAACTTGCAGGTGCATCGCCATACGCACCTCATAGGGAAGAATCGCGCGAAGATGGCGCAGGTGTACCCAAAGGGCCTGGCGGAGGTAATCCTGAGGGGCTTGAGAAAAGAGCTGAGGGCCCGAAAGCAGATCAACAGCTTGGAGGAGAAGCTGACTGGGCCTTCGCCCGATGAGCATGTGGAGCAGGAGGACTTCTACCAGAAGGAGTTTGAGAAGTATGTGGATGATGTGACGGGCACGGGGCTGCCTGTGGAGAAGGTGAAGGCCGCCAGAAAGGAAGAGATCGACTGGCTGGCCAAAGAGGAGGTGTATGAGCGGGTGCCGATGAGCATCTGCCGAGAAAGAGGATTTAAACCACTGCAGCTGAAGTGGCTGGACGTCAACAAGGGTGACAGTCAAGATGTCAAAGTGAGGAGCAGGCTGGTGACCAAGGAGGTGAAGAAGGCAAAGCGGCCGGAGGAGCAGCTGAGGCCCGCCGCTTGAATGCCCTGAGCTTGTTCATGACGAAGAGGCCAGGGAAGAAGAAGCGGAAGCTTGGGGCGCTCACTTCATGTGGCGCCGAGAGGGAGATTTACATTCAGTTGCCGGAGGAGGACCGGACGCGCAAGGAGGATGCCGGGGTGCCTATGTGCGGGCGTCTTCTGAGGTCTATGTGTGGGACTCAGGACGCCAGCCACATCTTCCAGAAGGACTATTCGAAGTGTCTGCTGTGCCCTGCCCTGTTCAAGATTGAGGGCATGGACCTGTGTGGGCTGGTGCATGGTGATGATTTCATGGCGACGGCGGCGGATGCGGAACTGGATGAGCTGGACAAGATCCTCAATACCGAGGTGGGAGGCGAAGATGGGGGACGGTTCTGGAAATGACAAGGAGCTGTTCTTCCTGAACCGGCTCATCAGGCATGTCCCGAATGGAACGGAATGGAAACTGGAGGTGGAGGCCGACGCACGGCATGCGGAGATCCTGCTGAAGGCGTTTGGGTTCAACGGCAAGACGAAGGGCGTGGACATGCCCGAGGACAAGCAGGTCGCGAAGGACATGGTCATTGTGGACCAGCGGAGTTGAATGCGGAGGAGTCGCTGGTGATGAGGATGGCCTACACAGGCCTGGCCTGGGACACGTGGTGAGAAGCTTGGCATCGAAGATGAGAGCGCCAAGCGAGAATGACTGGCTGAGGTTGAAGAGAGCGGTGCGCTACTTGGTGAAGCACCCGTACCTGAAGAAAGTTTTCTACGAGCAGGACTTGGCGGTGCCGCAGATTGTGGCGTGGTCCGGTGATCCTGTGACAAGGAGGAGCACGACGGGAACGGTGGTGAAGAATGGCGAGCACACTCTGATGGTGAAGGCCACGACGCAGAAGGTGGTGGCCCTGTGTTCGACGGAGGCGGAGTACTATGGGATGTGCAGGACTGCCACGCTGGGTGAGTTCATGAGGGGCGTGGCCGAGTTCTGGACGGGTGAGACAAAGCCCTTGACCTTGAAGGTCGACAGCAGCGCAGCGAAAGCGATGGCCGAGAGGCGCGGAGTGGGGCGCACAAGGCATGTGCAAGCCAGGTTCCTCTGGCTCCAGATGAGGGTGGTGGAGAGGAACGTCGACAAGGTGAAGGGCACGATCAATGACGCGGACTTGGTGACAAATGTCCAACCTGGGACTGCAATTCGCAGTCATCTTGAGCGCCTCGGCTACGAAGCAGCCGAGCGCCGGGGCCACAAAGGCCTGACGTTTTGAAGCGGTTCCTCAAGCGAAGGAATCGCTTTCGGCACCCAGGCGGTGCAGATCTGTGCGACTTTGCGCAGCCATTCAGGGCAAAATAGAATCCGCTGCTATAGGCCATGTCTGGATTGTTCGTTGCTCATATTCCGTTCTCACTTCCTGAATTCCTGGACTTTGTACTTTATTGAGAAGACCAATTTGGTGGCAACCAAAAGATGTGGATTGGTGTTTGCCAATCCACTCGATCGGAAGTGAGCTTTGAATGGACACGGTGTTTCCATGGTGCTTGCCGTTGGGCAGGGTGTACTAAAGCCACCGCACTCGAGAAACCTTTTTTTCCCTCCATTTGGTTTGGACCCGGGGAAATGTTGCCACACACACACACAGAGCCTCAGGGCCCTTCGGCGTGCCGAGGGGTTGACCCCTCCCTGTCCATGAGAGTCTGGGGAATTCAAGGCGAATCCCTTACCAGCGGCCTTATGTATCCCACAAACACTTGGGAATCTGCAGGTATGATTATGATGCGCTCTGGACAAAGCCTGCATACACATTCCCGTGGTGTCGCAGCCACGACATAATTGAGTTTTGCACATTTTCCCTTGGATAGTGGATTTGCGGCAGTGGAAACCATCTTAGGTTGGAAACATTTATGATTCATTCAGACAATTTCAGATATGATGCATACCCTTCCAGTTTTGCTAAATGTAACCACTGAATAAGGTGCGGGCAACATCTCCAGTATCCTATGGCCCTTTTGGGAGGAACATGGGGAACTCTGATTTTGAACCGCAAATCTCAGGGCACTCTCAGATTTGCAGCATTATCGGATTTTGAGCCTGGCACGTATAGCGACGTCAGTGTGTACGTCACGTATCTGTTTTGCAGGACCCCCCCCCCCCAAACAGACTACTCACTTCCTGGGTTCATGAACTTTAAACTTTTTGGGAAGACCATTTTAGTGGTAAATATAAAGTTTGGATTTTTTTTGGGCCATCCACTCAGCCGGTAACTGTCTGTCTTGCGGGACCGCCCCCGGAAGGGAAGCGGATCGGATTGTCGCCTGAGGCTTTGCGGGGAACCCCACGCTGCTGTCCCCGAGCAGGGCCAGGACCATTCCCAATCCAAAAGGCGAGGCGTTGGAATCGGCCCGTTGTTCGAACTGGATGCTTCGGGTCTCTAAAGGAAGGTAAAGGGACCACCCAAACCCTGGGTCCCTTTGGTCTCTCTTTCAACTAGCAACCCCAAAAGGGGTTCCCTTCTAAAAAACAAAAATAAGCAAAAGACCAACAAACAAAAACAAACACAACATATGGGTGAAAAAGCCCTCCCCCCTCTTTTTCGCGGTGGCAGGCCTGCGAGGGCCAAGGTCCCTGGACTTGGGAAGATCTGGTGTCTGGTTTCGAGGGAACCCGTTTTCAGTGGATCTAGCAGGGCTTATCAGATACCTTTGGCCCATTTGAAACATGCTTTGGTTCCCACCGAAATACAAGGAAACCGCCATTTACAAGGCAATGTTCAGCCTGGAGATTCATTCTCCGGCCTTTTCCTAGGCGTTTTAGTTTCCTGGTAGTTTTGGGCGTGTTGGGCGTTCTAAGTGGTTTCTAGGAATTTTGCGCGACCCCCGAGCCCAACAAGCGTCTTTTTCCGATTTGCGGGCGTTTGCGGGGTTTTGCGGGCGTTTGCGGGCTTTTTGCGGGCGTTTTGCGGGTAATTCTGGGCGGGGAAAACGTGAAACCGTACCACTTCTGATTTCTCATAAAAATATAGGAGCTTTAGTAGTTTTAGGCGACTTCACGAAAAAAACATCGAGATTTACGAAAAGCAAGTCAAAGCCGAGAACTACCAGGAAATTCATGGAGAATGAATCTCCAGGAGGTGTATATTGTAAGGATCCCTGTTTTAGATAGAACTGAAAGGAACACCAGGCACACCCAGCTATGTCAAGGTGGCAAACAAGAGGCCTGGCTGCTGCTTGCGGACAATACCAACTCGGATAGTGATCATCCGAATCCATGCGAGGTGCAAAGCTGCTTGCCCCGCCACAGCAAGGCACGGCGAGCGGGGTGTTAGGTGGGGACATAGGTGGGGGAGGAGTTCCTCGGGTTTCACAACGACGCAACAGCTTTGGCTCACGCGCCCAAAGCGAATCGACCTTTTGACCTTTTAGTTTCCCTTTGTTGGTCCATGTTTTGTCGTAAGGTTCACCTTTTATGTCTGGATCTTTTGGGAGGTAAACCGAACTCACCCAAGGTCCTGTTTATATGCGCGTGACTTGTGGGAAGGCCCCTTGGGCCCCTGGGCACTCGCACCATTTCCGGGAGCCTCTCGATGCACTTTTGCCGCTCTTCCTTGTACACCAGAGGGTTTTCCGCTCGCAGAAGCCCTCAGGTTTTCCCACAGCCCGAGTTCAGGCCACTCCGGCTGTTCAGCCTCAAATGTGCCTGAATTGAAAAAAGAGCGGCCCATATTTGTACATCCATCGCCGTCTTGACGGTTTGTGTGGTGTTTCCACGAAGGACTCCGCGCTGGCAAAAATCCGACTTTGCCAGGCCCCTTGCTGTAGCTCGATCGCGAGCCCTGCAAGAATTCGAGTGGCTGTGTGGCAAAACCATCCGGGCGTGCGGCGTTTTCGTTTTTTGGTAGGGCGCCCATTTTGGGGGGTTCAAGGGGAAAACACCAGCACACACACACACATCCTTGGATATGTTTTAGTAGTGGCCCTCCAACTGACACCGCCTTCACGCCGGTTCCACTGAAATTCTTCCAACCACCATCCCGAGTTTTGCCCCGCAGCCAAATTCGCGGGACCTCGGAAGCCTAGTGACACCAAGTGGTGACTCCCATATACCAGGTCCCTTGAAGAGTGCACAGGAGAGACATTGGCCAACCCCCCCCCCGCCGGGAATGTTTCTCAGCGGCCCCGGGTGGGGGGGCTGTGGCTTTGTCCCTGACAGTTTCGACTTCCAAAGTGAAGAGTGCGCGTCAATGAAGTCGCACACAAGGTGCATTATGGGGACAGAGCATGTCGACAGCGCTGTCGGCTCTTCGAACATGGTGCGAGTTGAGATGCTTTCAGCTTGGGCTGGTGCGGTCTTTTGGTTTTAATCCCCTATACTACCCGACCGCATCTTCGCGCGGAACCCTGGGGGGGGTCCCCAAAAACAACAGATTCCCCTAAATGGCATTTGTGTTGGTTCCCGCTTTTTGCTGCATTGGCACGAGTTGTTGATTGGTTCCCTGCAAGAGACACCCGAAGGGACAATTAAGGGGATTATTGAACCACCTGCTGAGGATGATGATGATGATGATGATGATGATGATGATGATGATGATGATGATGATGATGATGATGATGATGACGATGAAGCTTCATGATGATGCTAACGATGATGATGATAATTTGGCCCCACGGCCACGATAGCTTCATTTCGGCCTTTGCAGTAGCCTTGGCACATGTGGGTGAAAATGTTTCGATTTCTTTCCAACTTTAGTCGATTTGTAGAAAGTGCTGATTCTGCCGGCTCTGAGGCGTTCATGCGGCGCTACGCGGTTCAGGCGCTACTTAGACTTTGGGGGACACACTGCGGATTAGATTTAGGGATTTAGACGAATGTCGGGGGGCCAATTGGTTTGCATCAGATCTTGGTGTATGAACAAACCCACACAGGTGCTTTCAATCGGGCATGTTTTGTCGAGATCTTTTGTCACCTCCCAATGTGTGAGAGAAGCACCGGAAGCTGAGGGGCAGTATCTTTCCAACCACTATTTTCAGTGTTCCTGAGCGTTGTCGTCAGACTTCTGCTTGGTTCTGTCCTTCTGTCTCATCGTCCAGCGGGCCCAGCGATTTCATTTAGTAGCAACCGGCGGGAAAAATCCCAAACACAAGCTCCAGGGAATGTGGCTTCTTACTAGAGACTGCGATCTGGCGCTATCCACATGTTGATCATTCCCATGGACACGTTTTTTCTGGGTAGTCCGTTTCAATGGGGAAAGGCTTCGGCGGTCTTTGGCCGTGGCTGGACTTTGGGGCCGGAGGGACTGGAAAAGCAAGACAGCGCCTCTCAGCGAGAAGTGAAACACTGGCGGTGTGCTTTTGGACCAGGAAGAAAACAACAAGACACTCACGTGAAGGGTTACTTGGCACCCAAAGAAGGGTGAAAGAAGATGATGACCTGACAAGCAATTAAATGCCTTGGCCAGTTTGCATATGCAGAGATCCGGTGTCCAGGTTTGTTTCAGGTGGCCTGGGTGAATTAAACCGAGCTCGGGAGTTTCAGTGTCCCACTTAGTGTATTTGCTGAAGAATATGTTTCACTTCCCCCTGTTGGTGTAAAGCGAATCCGTCACTACTGGGAGTATATTTTCCAGGGCACGTAAGCAAATTGAAGTACTTGTGCTGATGTTCCTGTCTTAACCCGAAGGCTGATATTTGCGGAGACTTCATTTTGCCCCTGGCAAATTCTCGCTTGCCCGAACCCAAAGTTTGGTCTATTTTTAGTCATTCCAAAAGCTGATCGTTCTGGGACTTGCTCTATTTCATCCTGATCAGGAGGAATCCAGGGAGTGCATTTTTGGGTGTTCTCCGGAAGTCAAGTCAAACTTCTCAAACCGTGGGTCAGGCACCAAAATAAACTGGAGTCAACCCTGCTGTGAGTGGGTTAAACCTTTGGCTTCTTCCCCACATCGGGTAAATTTATGTTCGCCTTTCTTGAGAATGAAGATGTGAGTTTTATGCGAGGGGGGGGGGTGACAAGGTAGCTCCAGTTCACCACTTAATGATCTGGGTTCTTCAAAGTGAAATCTTAGTCCCCAGCCCAAGGGGAGGGGGGATTCCCTAATTGGCCCGAAGGAAACCGTAGGGCTCTCGACCCCTTAGCTTACCCCCCGGATGAAAGTTCTATACCCTTTGCACCACGGACTATTTAGGCTCCAGTTCGTCTTGCTATGGTAGGTCGGCCAACTCCAACCCCGCCCCAACCTTCTCAGCTCAGGTCGTTCCATCCGAATTCGGATTC